TGAATCATGGAACACTTCATCTAAAACTAATGATGTAATGTATGGGGATTTAACATAAGAATAAAAAAAAAAATCTCTTTAGCTGATCAAAATGTTCTCAGGACATAGAATTTTATTCCTCTTTAATAAAATAAATATAAATTTCAAATATTCTAGATAATTTTCCTATTTTTTTCTTATAAATACAGCAGGACAATCTCTGGTTTATGTGTTTTTTCTCAAATCACTCAAATCTTTGAAAGACCAAATTAAAATCATATGCTCCTCCACATAAGCTGACTCTTCTTCAAGGGCACAAATTTCAAAAAATAATTTAGGGTCAAACTATCCCCACAGCATGAAGAAGACATTCTGTGTCTTTATATATATATATATACTTGACATATAGTTAGTGTACAATATGCTATTATGAGAAAATAAATGAGGGTTAGGCATGATATGAGCCTTCCCTATTATTTCAGTCTCATTGTCTGCTACTCCCTCCAAATATTCTTATAGTCTAAAAAAGAATGAAATCTTACCATTTGCAACAATGTGGATGGAGCTAGAGTATAATGCAAAGTGAAATAAGTCCGTCAGTGAAAGACAAATACCATATGATTTCACTCATATGTGGAATTTAAGAAACAAAACAAATGAGCAAAGAAAAAGTGAGAAACTAAGAAACAGACTCTTAGTGATAGAGAACAAAGTGATGGTTACCAGAGGGGAGGTGGATAGACAGATGGGGGATAGGTATGGGGATTAAAGAGTATACTTATCATGATGAAAATAAAACAATTAAAACATATATATATTCTTTTTTTAAATTACATTCAATTCTTAGTCTAGACACTTTTAAACCTCTCACAGTCCTGTAACATCCCCAAGTTTTCCTATATAACTATGCCTCTGCTCCTGATCTGTCTTTCTTGTATGGTATTTCCAATTTGTATACATGGTAAGCTCCTACTCATCTTTAAGACAATTTTAGTATCATCTCCTCTCTAAAGCCTTCCTAATCCATTCCCAGTACTACTGGATACTTTATATGTAATCCACTGGTAATCATCATATTGTATTCCAATTATTTAGAACTCCCTGAGACCAGAAACTGTGCCTTATTTGTCATTGTGAGTTGTTTTGTTTTGTTTTTTTTTAAAGATTTTATTTGACAGAGAGAGAGAGACAGCGAGAGAGGGAACACAAGCAGGGGGAGTGGGAGAGTGAGAAGTAGGCTTCCTGCAGAGTAGGGAGCCCGATGTGGGGCTCGATCCCAGGACCCTGGGATCATGACCCGAGCCGAAGACAGACGCTTAACAACTGAGCCACCCAGGTGCCCCTCATTGTGAGTTTTAATACATGACACCATGTCAGGATCCTGCTACATCATTGGGTGAATGTTGACCAAATCTGTATGTCTATATGTTCCTTGAGGTTAAAGGCACTGTGCTATTTGTCCCAGTACACACAAACCTAACATAGTACCCACTCCAAGTTGGCTCTAAGTAGAATGTTTTAATGAATTACTTGCAATCAAGAAAGGACAAAGTTTAAAAGGTAGGTACTAGACTTTAACCTGTCATTTTACAGTAGTAGATTAATACAGATTCATGTATCTACACAGAAAAAAAATATAGAATATACCAAAGATTGCTGAATTTATTGACATAAACTCCTTTTTGCAAATCATTCTGTCCTTGTTATTTCCTGGAAAAACTCAGAAACATCTGTTGTTTCTTTATAGAGGACTCTCTTCTGATAAAATGATAAAATTTACTTAATAAATTTTGAACATCACAGATAATGTTCATAATGTAAGCAATACAGGAAACAAAAAAAAGAGTTGCTATTTTGAAACTTATTCTGATTTTAGGCAATGTGATATTATAGGAAAGTCAGTACACCTTACTGCCAGGGTTAGATTCTCAGCCAACTCAAACACATCTGTGCTTGCAAACTTTAGCTGTTTATTTAACTACTCTGCGCCTCCATTTCCTCAGCTGTGAAGTGCAGAAGAAATAGTAGTGTTCACTTCACAGCATCATTGTAAAGGTTAGAGTTGTTACAGCTTTTGTAACCACTGTGTCTGGAACATCATATGTTCTCAATAAAATGTAAATGATTATGCTGTTAATACATCAGATGGTCTTTAATAAACAGGAGTGAAATTCTATTCTTCCCAGTATGAGAAGATAAAAGCTCCCTGATCCTCCCTCTACATGACCCAGCTAACCAAAGAAGTAAATTGCTGTAGTCTACTTATGAAACAAGCACATCTCAAAATTTTTTTTATTAGGCAGCGCCCCTGGAAGCCATGGAACCCTCTATGGAATAGGATGCCTTTTAGCAGAACAAATGGAATATGATTACATTAAATCTACCTATATACAAAAAAAAAAAAACTTGGCTAGCAGAAAATATTGTTATATTGTAGCACACATATTATCACAAATGGGTGCTCTCAGAACAAAATATGTTGCTATTAGTTATTAATAACTCTTCATTTGGCATGTATTTGGTATACTACCACCAATACTCACTATTACGGTTAATAGTCCCTTTAACTAAAGAAAACCTATATTAACATCTCACAGTTACTTTTTTAAATTTTTTCTATGCATAATTTTGAGTTAATCTGTTTACTTTGCATAGGTGTGATTATTCTGTGAAAACAAATTTATAACCCATTTTTCTCTTTCTCCTTATGATAGAGGTATTCATCCACATCAATGTAAACTTCTTCACTGTCAATATAAATTAATAATTTATAATAATTCATTAATAACAATAATTTAAATGGCTACATAATATAACAGATATATAGATATCATTCAGACATTTTCCTATTTTTG